GGCCCGCGGGCCATACTTTGAGAACCCCTGCTATACAGCATCAAACCAAAAGCCTAGTTGGGACTAAACTGACAGAGAAAGTCTAATCTTTCAGGTCAGGAAATTCTATCTCTAGTAAAGGTCTTCAATCCACGGTCCCTAAAAATAAATCTGGAAGTTTAATTCAGAAACACTCTCAGACAAAGATTTTCAGTATAACCCAACATAAGTAGACTTTGGCTAACAGACCAGGAAATTCCTGGAAAATGTGAACAATCATAACGTACTCCAGAAAAGGTCACAACTCAGTACAAGAAGAGCTAATGTTAATTCAGTACATGTAAAATGTAATTGAAACATTTTAGTCTACTGGGGAATCTTCTTTCTTTTAATACAGCTTTCTAGGATACCTGGGAGAGAACTATGAAAATTACCAACAACAGTGACTTCTAAAAACTAAAAAGGGAATATAATAAATACTTTTTGCAAAAAAAAAAAAAAAAAGAGTAATGTTTCATAGTTCAAATGTAATGTAGCAAAAGTGAATTACAATAGTAGAAAAGGCAAGGAAAACAAAGACAGCTGAAATTATGCCACCTGAGGACATGGACAAATTGAATATATTCAGATGAATGAAACAGAGCTTGTTTAAACAAGGTCAACCACTTGAAGTTGATTTGCAATTAATCCTTACTAAGAACAAAGTTCACATAAGTATATGTAGGGAGGAGTAGACTAAGGTTCAACCCAAGTCTGTATGATTGTGGGGGTTTGGACCCCCACATCCTGGAAATGTTTAGTATAACTTCAGTGTGACAGCTTATACCAGGTCACCTTGGATAAAGAAGCTGGAGCTATTTATTTAAAAGGTTAGTCCTGGGGAAATGGGAAAGTGGGGGGACATCACTCTTAACTTGCTGCTTAATTACCTGCCTTAGGTAATTAACTTACCTACAAAGTTAACTTGCTACTGCTTAGAACCATAACTTACTGGTGTCGGAAACCCAACATCAACAACAATCCTTTTTGCTGTTGGAGTGGAACTTTTAAAGAAGTATATATGTCAGTGACCAAAAGAGTTCAGAGTACACATTTTCAGTCCCCCCCACTCATTTTTTTCAGGGTAGATTTTTCAAAAAGAAGAGTAGATATTTTAAATATTCCAGACACTGATGTCATCTGTTTTATTTTTAATGTTCCAAGGAAGCCTTTGGAAAGCTGTACTGATATTGCTCAGCATTTCCTGCTGAATTTCAGTACTGCAAACTTAGAAGCCTCTGAGAGGAGGTGCAATAGGATTTCAGGGTGGCATAAATCTGTGGGCCTTGGATGACCACTCTAGCTATATTAAAAAAAGCTTTCAGTGTCCAGGCTTCAAATGGGATGCATTTGTTACCAAAAGACACATCACATTACACTTAGTGTTTCTTAAGATCGAATCAAGGGCACAAGGACAGGAATTCATATGGCAAAGTACAACCCCTTATGGCAACTTGAAAATCCAGCCTACCCCAGCACTGGAACTTCAGTCATTGATTTTTTTTTTTTAAATCAAGATATGTATGGAATTTCCAGAGAAACTATGCTACTTCTCTTCAAAATAATAATAATAATAATAATACTCCTCCTCCTCCTCCTCCTCCTCCTCCTCCTCCTCCTCCT